GTGTCAATGTTTTAAATACTTAGTATAGTAAATATTTTAAATTGGTTTCAAAAAAAGTAAATATTTTAAATTTGTTGGTTAATATAATAATTTTTTTAAAAAGAATTTGTTAAGGGAAGAGAAAAGGCAAGGTCGCAGCTTTACGAGGCTGAGGATATCATCCATGTGGCCATTCCAATCTCCCCAAACCACCCCTGAAACGTGTCACCTCTTCCGTTGCTTTTTCACACGCGTCTTTAATCCATAAAATCTCTTTATTTCTGTACCTTCACCCAAGAGTTGTACAATGTTCTCTACCTCACCGTAGTCCCCTCCTGCATTCTATTTGTGATTGCCACGTAACCATCTATTATGGCTTTTTTGAGATTTCACAACTTATTATTATTATTATTATTATTATTATTATTATTATTATTATTATTATTATTATTATTATTATTATTATTATTATTATTATTATTATTATTATTATTATTATTATTATTATTATTATTATTATTATTATTATTATTATATCACTTTATTTATTTCATTATATATCTTCTCAATAATATGATGTTTGTTATATAATACTTTTGATTCCTTAGAATATGTGTGATTTTATCTAAGTTATTTTTCAACCCAAATATGATAACAAATGAACTCACTCGCATGGGCAGCTCAACTGGTCACAAAGGTGAAACTTTGAAAGAATGACCAGGGATTGAGTCTCACCAGCGGCCTTGTAGGACTTACCTCAAGTGAGGGGGGTTCCTGGGGCTTCCTTGTGTGCAGTGAGCACCGGTCTAGTCTTTGTGGTTCATGTTCAGTTTTTTTTTTTTGAAAACTGAAACCGAAGTTTATATTAAATCAAGGGAAAGAGCATTACAGATAAGAGGAGGAGGAGTCAAAGACCACTCCTTACGTTCAGACATAGAAACGGGCTCCCTTGCAAGAAGGTGGGCAGTCCGATTCGCAGAACGTTTAGCAAAAGAGATACAAGAATGAGCAAAAGTGCTCAACGAATCTTTAACATCAGCTAAAAGAAGATCAAACGAGGTGACATAATTAGGAGACTCCAGCCCATGGACTACCAACAGAGAGTCTGTCTCTACATGAAGAAAATCAAGGTGATGTTGTTTAGACCAACTGAGGGCTTCTCTGATTGCAAGCGCTTCGGCTTCCCTTGGCGAATGAGCTCCAGACCACGGTTGACAGACCGCGGAAAGGAAAGCACCATGGTGATCACGTAAAACCCAACCGAGGCCCATCTTGCCGGAATTGACATCCAAAGCTGCGTCCACATTGAGTTTAAACCATCCTTGCCTTGGCACTCTCCATCTTATAGTGGTGTGCAGCTGCCCATGAGCACGGTTGTTATCCACAGTACATGCCGTCCAATCTCTCCAGAAATCTCTTGAGTTCTCTACAATGGCTATGGCTGGTCTAGATATGTTCTTCCATAACTTCTCATTCCTTGATCGCCAGATATTCCAACAGATGATAGCGAAAAGACAGAACTGGGAGTGAGGCAGCATGCTATAAGCTTGAGCAATCCAGTCTGCACAGTCTTGGGCTTGATCCTTGTCCGGCAATGGATGAAAAAGCCTCCAGCAATCCGTCGCGAACCTGCAATCGGTAAAGAGGTGGAAGGCAGATTCGTCGACCTCCAGGCATAGAGGACACAACAGATTACAATCAATTCTTCTCTGACGAAGCATGTCTGTAGTTGGAAGACAACCAGAACAAACTTGCCATATGAACGACTTTACTCTGGGAGGGAGATGGAGCTTCCACACTCCAGACCACTTAACTATAGGATAGATATCTAAATCATGTGATATAGCTTTGTAACAACTTCTAACCGTGAAAATCCCTTTATCGTCTTTGGACCAAATCAACTTATCATCTCTTGGAATGTGCGGGATAGGGATACTGATAATGAGTTTAGCATCTCTAGAATTGAAGATGTCTCTAATCACTTCCTCATCCCAACCAGTTCCCTGGGGATTAAATAAACAATCAACAGTTGCATTTTGGAGATAAGGATAAGGTGGTGTAATGATCGTAGGGTTGATGGCATCAGGCAGCCATTTATCATGCCAAATGCGAACTGAACGTCCGTTTCCAATTCTCCAGCGGGCATTACACTGCATAGCACTTCTAGTTTCCAACAGACTTGACCACACAAAAGATGGGTTGCTGCCCTTTCTAGCATCAACAAAGTGGCAGTCCGGATAGTACTTGGCTTTCATAATTCTTGCAGCGAGAGATTCGGGTTGATTAATCAGCCTCCAAGCTTGCTTCGAAAGCATAGCTAAGTTGAACTCTTTGATCCTGCGAAAACCCATCCCTCCCCATTTCTTAGGAATACAAAGCTTATCCCACGATTTCCATCTCAACCCCCTTCCCTGCTCACCGTTTCTCCCCCACCAAAAACCGTTCATAGCTCTCTCAATATCACTCACCAGTCCCTGGGGAAGTAAAAACAAGTTCATAGCAAAAGACGGAATGGCTTGGATAACACTCTTCAAAAGGACCTCTCTTCCCGCCCTAGAAAGGAATTTGTGATTCCAAGAATTAATCCTAGCAACAATCTTACTCTTAATGAACCCCAATATTTCTCTTTTATTCCTACCCACTAGAGAAGGTAAGCCTAGGTAATTCCCAGCATTTCCCTCCATTCTCACCCCAAGAATAAATCCAACAACATCCCTCACATAAGAATCCACATTTTTGCTGAAATTTAGGGAAGACTTTTCGAAGTTTACCAATTGGCCTGATGCTGCTGAATAGACCTCCAGAATGTGTTTACAGATATTGCTTTGAACCTGATTTGCTTTAAAGAACACATAACTATCGTCGGCGAAGAGAAGATGCGAGACCCTGGGAGCATTTCGAGCGATCCTGATGCCATTAAAATTCCCCGACTCTTCCTGCTTTCGAATTAGAGCGCTCAGACCTTCCCCAACGAGGATGAACAAGTAGGGAGATAAGGGGTCTCCTTGTCTAAGGCCGCGATGCGGGATAATAGGACCTAACTCATCTCCGTCTCTCTGTATAACATACTCCACAGTACAAACACATTCCATAATCAACATCACCCATCTGTGGTAGAAACCAAGCTTCAACATCATAGCTTATGACCGGGTTCATGTTCAGTTGAGTTACCATGATTTACATCCTCACAAATAAGGGTTCCTTGTGCGAGCACCGGTCTAGCCTTTGTGGTTCATGTTTAGTTGAGTTATGGTTTTACATCCTCACAAATGAACTCATAATGACACCAAAACTGAATTATGATCTTTGTGGTTCATGTTCAGTTGAGTTACCATGATTTACATCCTGGTTCCTTGTGCGAGCACCGGTCTAGCCTTTGTGATTCATGTTTAGTTGAGTTATGGTTTTACATCCTCACAAATGAACTGATAATGACACCAAAACTGAATTATGATATTTGTGGTTCATGTTCAGTTGAGTTACCATGATTTACATCCTCCCAAATGCTCTGTCGGTGTTGGGGTTCAGCCTTTTTGAATAATGATAACAAATGAAAACTGAATTATGATTTTACATCCTCCCAAATGCTCTGTCGGGTTCGGGTTCAGCCTTTTGGAAAAATGATAACAAATGAACTCATAATGACACCAAAACTGAATTATGATCTTTCCAATCCAAGAAGAAGACTTCTATCAATTTTGAGCCTGTTCAAAAAAATCACTAGTAGAGTTTTTAGGTTAAAATTTAAGGTTTAACCATTCATTATTATTAAAAACGTCATCATATAATATGACATTGTAATAAAATTATTCTTTTTATAATTTTTTTGTTCTTTTTATCAATTTTATAAATATTTATAATTTTTAAATAGCAATGTCATGATATATAACATTGCAAGATTTATATATTTTCAAATATATTTAAATTTATTCAACATCATTCATAACTTCCCAATAAAGTTATAGGTATGTTGGGTTCAAAGTAATTTGAAAATAATGATGCTATATCTCTCTATTCGTAATAGATTGATACCACACTATTTCTTTTTTTTTTTTTTTTTTTTAATTTGGTCATTAAGTATTTTGTTTCTTTTTTACTAATTGCGTGATTGATATATTCATGAATAACTAATGAATATAAAGAATGTTTTATTAATTATAGGAACAATTGTCAAATATGCCCTTGAACTTTAGCTTAAAAGTCAATTAGGCCCTTAAATTTTTTAAAGGTGCAATTACATCCATCAACCATTCATTTAGGTGCAATGAAGCCCAAAAATAAGTTAATGACCTGCTATCACAGGTCATTAGGGTTCAGGCCACCTTCCGGCGAAATTACTCTGACTGACTAGAAGTTATAGAAGACATACATCAAGACATTCACGACAACTCTGTGACTCAAGATCATTGGACCAAACCTTAACAGGGATTCCTAAAACTGAATGTTGATGCAACTATGGATGTGCATGGAGCACGTTTGGAATTTGGTTGCGTGCTGAGGAATGATCTTGGTCAGTTTGTAGCAGCAAGGGGATCTCAATAGAAAGAATTACATAGCAGCAAGGAAGCAGAACTGCAGAAGTAGTTGCGGTTAGAGAATCTCTTATATGGATGAAATCTCTTGATCTTGATCAAGTTATCATAAGTCAGACTCCCTCCAAGTAGTTCAAAGGATGAGTTTAGCTTTGAGAGATTCCTTCTTCCATCTAATTTTATCAGATCTGAGAATCATACTACTCACATGTTAGCTAGACAGTCTCTTTCAATGTCTGATCACTTAGAATGATTTTCGAACTCTCCCCATATGTTTAATGTTTTATCTTTGGATTTGAATTAATTTAATCCGTTTTCCTTAAAAAAAACTTTAATAACGTTACGAGGGGTATAGATTCATGTCCACTGTTTGTGCGGTGTGGTCGACACACCTTAGCACTTTGCCATTATTATAAAACTATTTTCTGTGCAAACTCTATCGTTAGAGACATAACCAAAAAGGGCTTGGTCAGAACCACGTGTCGATCTTTCCCCTCGTTCATTTCCGCCACTTGTCCTTCACCAGTACGTTCTTTGTCCCCTCACCCACCAAAAATACTGGGGCAGTTTTGTCATTTCACTCCCCTCTCCCCCCCACTCTCTCACCTTTCGTTTTCCCTGTTGTTTCTTCTCTCTAGGTCTCCCCCTCCTCCTGGATTTGCTTGCCCATTCCTAGTCTCCTCGTCTTTTCTCTTTCGCCTTATATTCTTGATTTTCCGGCTACCCATTCGGCGGAGCATATCCTTCCCCTCATTTTCTTTGATTTTTTTTTTCTCCTCTTTATATCCTGTTTTGTAGTAAGAATTTAGCTGTGTTGTTGGGCTTTGCGTTTTGGATTGAGGTTTGATGAAATATGTTGTTTTTAGTTTCTGGGGATTTATCCGGGAGTGATTTGAAGTGATTGGTGTATAAAGATTGAGTCTTTGAGCTGGGTGGCGTTCTTATGCTGTTTAAAGATTGGTTTTTGTGCATCTGGGTTTACCATGCATGTACATGAAGATTTGCTTGAGCTTTAAAGCGGTTGTGGGGTGGTGAGTTTGGTGGGTTTTTGGTGGAGTTGGGGTTGCCCATGGGAGATAGTAGATCGACGAAGAAAAGCAGCGGTGAAATGGAGAATCTTGCTTTGGATGCGAACAGATTTTCGAGGGACTTGCTGCAGAGATTCATGGGAGTGAGCAGCGGCGGCGGCGGCGGTGATGGGTCGGAGAGGGCTGAGGTAGGGTGGAGGGAGAAAGAGGAGGCGGTGGAAGACGACGGAGAACTCGAACTGAATCTCGGGTTGTCATTGGGAGGGAGGTTTGGCGTGGACAAGAGCTCAAATAAGCTCCTGAGGTCTTCTTCCATAGCTGCATGTTTGCCAATTGTGAGAGACGATGATGCGGTGGCGACGCCGGCGGCGGCGGCGGCCTATTCCGCTCTGGTCCGGACCTCCTCCCTCCCCGTGGAGACGGAGGAAGAGTGGAGGAAGAGGAAGGAGTTACAGACCATGCGAAGACTGGAAGCCAAGAGGCGGCGGTCGGAGAAGCAGAGGATTTCCCGGGGAGACGCCGGCGCCGGCGCCGGCGGGTCTAATGTGGATGAACCCAAGAGAGAAATTGGGGTGAATTTCAGGACAAGATTAGATAAAGAACAGTTATTAGCAGCCACTAAAAGCTCTTTTAGGAGTGGGATTGACATTGGAATGTTCAAAGGTAAAAGAAGCTGTTTTTCTAGTAATAATAAAATGCAGCCTTCATCTCAAGGATCAATTGAATCTCAAGGTGCTAACTCTTCAAGCATGTCAGAATTAGAATGTAAATCCCTTCAAGGTAACTTTTTTACTTTACCACTTTAATTTACTAAACCATATCTTGTTCCAATGCTGTGTTACTCACTTACTGTGTTGCTATTAGTACCCACAAAACTGCAATCTTTAGTCCCCGATTATAGGTACATTGTTCGTTTAATGTTCACATCTTCCTGAGAACTTAGGCATTACCTTAGTACAATGATTTTATGATTTAGGATTTAGGATTTAGGATTTAGGAATGGAATGCATTCGGGGTTGCTGTTTGCAGTTGACCGGGAATCTGTCACATTGTTAGTGTGTTGTGTGAAACTCTGTCCACCAAAAAGGGGAAATCCCCTAATGCATTGCCTTGTCAATGAGCAACTTTTGAGTTGTGTTATCACTGTTCTTATATGTTGTGTGGTGAGAGTTTGCTGGAATCTAGTGCCCCGAGGCTTTTTCTTCTTTTTTTTTTTTACTTGGCACGAGAGTTCTTCCTTTTCTGTATGATTGTCCCTCGTACGTTTGTAGATATTTTAGCGAGTTTTGTCTTGGTTATGCAAGTGGGAAGACGAAATTCCGGTGGTTACTACTTACTAGTTGACTTGTTGGCCAACATGTTTTTGCATTGGTTGTTTCATGTTTGGTGGAAATTGGTGATGTGTGGGTAGGAATAAGTTCTCTATGCTCTATACAAATCACGGTTTTAACTTCAATTTATTCTAGATAACTTTAAACTTGGTTAACTAATTCTTGAAAATCTCGTGATAGGGCTATTTGAGAGTATGGTGTTATTGAAGTGTTAGTTATTGTTACAATTTAAGAATTTAAGAAAAAAGGTAAGAAGAATGGGTTGGGTAGATGGACGAGGGGCCGAGGAGATGGAAGAACATCTTCCTAGCACTCATTTGCGGATTTGCGGGCTCCTCATTACATGTGCCTCTTGTAGTTTGTAAGCCAACAGTTTGAAACAAAATGTGGATAAGATCGAATATGACCATACCCCAATACCCCATAGTTGATAGATGTCTTTGTCTGGAAGAACAGTAAGGAGTACAAGAAAAAAGCGAGGATGTTGATAGGTAGACGGTACGAAATTGGTAGGGGGATTTAGTTGGCCGCAATGTGTGATGTCCAAGCGTCGGTGTTATGGAGAAGGTGAAACCAAGTGGCGTGTCTAATTAGAGGTTGGTGGGTTATCGTTTTCGCGAGTAACTACTTCTTTATTGTTGGGGGAAACGGGACTTTCCTTGAAATGAACTCGTTCTATGAAATCGTACGTGTCCTATATTAAGCCCCGTCCTCTCCCATCTAAAAGAAACACATCCAATGTTAACCGGGACATTAACTTCTTGACATATAGAGTCGATTCTTTGACCTTATAGTTGCATTAGCAGTTTGTTTACCAACTGTCTTAAAACGGTTGGTTTATTAACTGTCGTTTTTCTTCAGGGTCATGTGAGCTGAGCCCCGGGAGCATACAATCGATACAAGAGGGCGGGAACCAAGAAACCGGCTCATCTCGAGCTAAGACAACGCAGGATCATCCCAGCAGGACGGCGTCGGGAATCGAGACGGACCCGCCACCCAACAAACCCGAGAGCACAAGCCGGCAGGCAACGAGAGAGGCCGGGACCGGGACGGGGTCCCTGGAGGACATGCCGTGCGTGTTCACGAAAGGCGACGGCCCCAACGGCAAAAGGATCGACGGCATACTATACAAATACGGCAAGGGAGAGGAGGTGAGGATCATGTGCGTGTGCCACGGCAGCTTCCTCTCGCCGGCGGAGTTTGTGAAGCACGCCGGCGGGAGTGACGTCGCCCATCCGCTCAAGCACATCGTCATCAACCGCAACTCTTCTCCCTTTCAGTAAAACCGCAAATTGCATGAAAAATATCATGCAAATGCGCCAATAGAACAGTTTGTTTGTTTGTTCGTTTGTTTTTCTTCTTTCTATTCTTCTTTGCAAGAGCATATACATGTATCAACTAACGTTGTTGAATTATATGTTAAAATTTTTAAAAAATAGTTTTGTATGCATTGCGTACTAAGAAAATTTTTGTAGGCATAGTTCTCATTTTGAATAACTAAGTAGAATAAAATATTTACTCTCAAATTCTCATAAAAAATAGTTAAGAGCTCTACCAAATTCGAACTAGTGACCTCTTGATCTGCAGTCAAATGCTCCACCACTGAGCTAAGAACCCTGTTTATAAATTTGTCCATTTTTGTTAACCCCATTACCTTACTCAATATCATTCTAAAATTTCCCTTTCGGGTAAGTTTATACATTATTTTTCAAAATTTTATAGTTATATTGAGTTCTGACTAGGGGTGGAAATAGGTCGGGCTGAGCCGAGCCTAGAAAATTATAATTTTTTAATTATAATAATTATTTCAGGACGAAATAGGACGGGGAGCGTATCTTCGTCCTCGACGAGAAATTACATACATTCTTCATTTTCGTTTCCAGAAACTTTTTTCCACCCCGTCCTGTTTGGACAGGGATTGAGATTCCCATCGAGAATGGAGCAAATTGTCATTTTTATCCATAATGAGTTAGGAGAAATAAAATTCCCTTTTAACTAGCTTCGAAAATAGTATTTTGATTAGATCAAAAAGAAAATTCTTTGAAAAGAAAAAAGAATGAGTATTTTGCTATGAGTATATGAGTAAAAAATGTTACACCCCAAAATTCATGCATTTATCACTATTACTTGCCGCCATGGCTGTTCCCCCATCCTCTTCTACCCCTCCATCCTCCATTGTTCCACTGGTAATCATCTCTGTCTTGTCCTTCTGAGCTTCTGTTTCTGTATTCATACCGGTAATAATTATAATCTCCACCACCATTCTCTCTTCTAATATGATAGCCATTATTGTAAGATCCTCCTTTACCGGGTGGCGAACCTTGCCGGAATCCACCTCTAGCCGGCGGAGACCTCCCCCTGCCACCATTGCCACCTGAAGTAGAAAACCATATGAACAGATTAAACAAGCTGATATATAACATTGTAACATATTGTGAGAGCTAAAAGCTAGAATCTTGACATGTGATATTGTAACATTTTTTTTTTTTTTTGAGGGTGTAGGGTGTGTATTGGCTGCATTGTGACTCTAGCCGGTAAAGGTCCACAAAAGAGAAAAACCAATCAAGTTGTGACTGGTTCAAACCAGACCAAGTCAATAGCTTGACCAACTTGACTGGGTCGTCTCGATAATACTTTTATTTGTTTTGGTTGAAGTTTGTTACCACTTGTGCTTGATTTCTTGTATGTTATGTAGGCTTCTTTCCCCCGGACAATGAAATTATGAGCCTGAGAAAACACCGATAACGGGATGAGGATAATTGAAGAATGTGTTCCAATTTCAACTAAAGACACTAATGGTTAGAAATATGTTCTGTCTTAGTTAAAAACATAAATTGATAGTTGAACTGCATGGCATACCTCGACTGCTTTTCGTGCAGATTCTTCAGACTCGAAATGCACAAATCCATAAGTGAATCCATCCTGCATGGCAGTTTCAAGCTGGAGTGTTCAATCAAAAACTTTTGACAGATAACATATCTGTGCACATGAAAGATATATACACACACACATATATGTATATACCTCGTTCTTGTAATCCTGTATGACTTGAACACCATCATTCTTCTTAACTCTACCAAAAATCTTGACAGCCTCAGCCAGCTCATGTTTCGTTGTGTTGGGTGGCAACCCCCCGACATAGATTCCCTTACTACCCGGAAACAACATTGCTGTTTCATCACCTGCCGGAGTAGCAATCTTACCCACACTGTTGATTCCATCTAATTGTGGTTTGGGTGCCACCAAGCTACCATCGATTGCAGAAACCCTCACAATCTGGACAGCAAGGGCAGGGGGACAGGATCTCTCTTTTGACAACTTCACCAAAGAATGATAGAAAGAAAGAATGTTTAGTAGCTGTAGACATTGTAGATTCTTACAAGGGAAAACGCAACCACTATTCTAGAGTGTGCACTGTTAGGTAAATTTCGCCTTGTGATCCTGATCATTAAAGGACCATAAGGAGGTTAACCAGCATAGGTTGAGCAGACCGACTCAAACCAAGAAGGTTAATAGACATTGCTGATTTAGTATCATAGCAATGTTGTAACACGTACAGGTAGCTCAATTGGTTATTGAGTGACAGATTATGGGTAAAGTCGTAGGATTGAGCCCCGACAACTGTAGTGTGAGAGTTTCACCTTCTGTCTTGATTTTAGATAGATGTGGGGCCTTTGGGACGAAGAATTTCGCATTTTTGTGGGCAAAATATTAGAGCAATGTAAGAGAACTAACAGTTTCTAAATAGGTTGTCTTGTGGACTACAGCAGCTGGTTGTTTAGGATGAATCAAATCTGGCGAAGGTTTTGAAATGGTTTCAGCTGTAATCTCAGCATATGATGGGTTGAGTGCAGACCCTTTTGATGAACATACATTCTCAAGAACTTCATCAAGCTCTGAAATGACTGTACATATAAGAAATTTACAGAGATCAATGGAGTGACTAACAAGAAGCATATCCATGGAAGGGTGGAAGAAATTAAACACAACCTACCTGAATCTGAAGGAGGAGAATCTGGTGGTTTATGGATGGAGATAGTTGCAGATTCTTGAGGAGTTGATGGTGGGTGTGTATCAACAAAGCGTAAGATATCATTCAAGACAAAAAAGCCTCTCTCTTGGCTGGCAAGAAGGAAAGTGTGGCTGAAATTTCTGGTCACTTCTTCATCTTTTCCGATCAAGTTCCCGGTGACCACCAAAAGAATGCTTCCCTGTAAAGAATCCTGGGCATGAATGCTCTTCACTTGCACCTCGGAATCCTTGTAGTCTGAAGACATGATCATATCGTTTATTCCCTGCAACAATAGTAGTTCAGTTCAGAAGATTTTGCTCAAAATCAAAACCAGTAAATACCATTTAATTACTCACTTTCATTGTTGTCACTGAATGGACAACGCCGTCGTTTCCTTCCCAGCCAGCCACGCTTGAATCCTTGTAGAATTTGTGAGTGTCCTCCGGCCGGAGATCGAGGACTTGGTAATACTGCGAGATAAAGGCGCATCCCACTTTCTCAGCGCTGTGACGAATCGCCATTTCTGATCTGCATTCAAACATGAGCTGATTAGAAACATCTAGCAAATACTAATGGCAAGAATTAAGAACCCTACCCCAACAGAGTTTTTTTTTGAATAGTTAATTTGATAATCACAATATTTTAACTCTCACTTCTTGTGATAGTGCTTTACTTATCTTTTTAGGTTGAATCGAGTTGATCAACTTGGAAACTATTATGGTTTACCAGATTTTAAGTCCGTTAGAAATACAAAACCCTACTCCAACCGAGTTGATCGACGATTAACTTAGTAACTATAAGTTCAACTTCGCTGGGAGTGCTCAATTGGCCTTTTTGGTTTAAGTCTATCAATAATTTAGTTTATGGCCCTGTTTGGTAAATAGCTGCTGATAGTTGTTAGCTGTTAATTAGAGGGTATAACTAGTTGATAACATTAACTGTTGTAAAAAAGCGTTTGGTAATCAAGTTGATAACATTAGCTGTTACCGGATTTCAAGTCGGTTAGAAATACAAAACCCTACTCCAACCAAGTTGGTTGACAGTTACCTTAGTAACAAGTCTAACGTAACTCCACTGGATCTGCTCAATCGGCCTTCTTGGTTTAAGTCTGTTAATAGATAACTTTGACTAATTTATACTTTTGTGGTCTTTTGACGAGTAGGATTCTTTAGTTTTAATCGGCCAATTAGGAATAACTTAATTAATTTACCTTCTTATAGTTTTTTGCCAAATAAGATAATAAGACTGTTCCACCTAAAATATTCTTGTCGTATATTGGGTGAACTTTTCAATAAATTAAACAATCCCACACAAAAATACAAAATTGCCATCACACACTATAACTAACTTATAAAGCTGGCATCTTTAAGGCGATCATAGAGGAAAAAAAAACAATAAAAAACACAACAAATTAAGGTGAATAAACACAAATTAAAGGAAACACCAATTCAGGCACAACAAATTCATATAAATGGAAATGACAAATTTTATATATGAGCTGTTACTCCATTGGCAGTAGACACCACCAAAATATTCTGTCTATATGTGAATTTTATATCTTTACACGTGAAATTTAAATATAATGCATTTAGACCATTAAACATTATTCATTTCACCTACAGATTTATTTATTTTTTTTAATTCGCAATTATTAATCTCCTAAATGAGAATGAAAAATATATACACAGTACAAATACACAATATTAAAAAATAGGTTGATTTGGCCAACTTTTGCATATGGGCATATTTATATTGGGGGTGTTTGGTAATTCGCTGTTAGTCGATTGTGTTAGTGGACTAGTTGATATCATTAGCTGATTGTATAAAAGTGTTTAGTAAATTAGTTGTTAGCTGATTACATGTAAAATTACTTTCTCAAAAAACTTATCACAAAGTTGTTTTGAGCAAATTTTTGAATTTTAGCATTTTTAAAGCAATAAGCTATTATAAAAAGCTAATTAATTAAACACTCAGATTGTTTAGCCAAGTCAAACAGCTAAAAGTGGTCAAATAAGTCAAAATTAACTAATAAACTAACTATGTTACCAAACAAGGCCATTATACTGGTGAGCAAATATATGTACATGGTAAAGATATATACTTTTTACAACAAAAAACAAAGCAACAACAACAGCAGAACATCAACTTAATTAAAGGGTGTAAAAACAAAAACAAAAATTAAAGCTGGATTTTTGTTCATCATATCTAAAACCTTTAGGGGGCGTTTGGTTCACGGAATCTTGAATTACCCCAGGTAATAGGATTACCTCCAGGAAGGTAATATGAGATGTTGGGAATGTAAGATTACCTTGTGTGTTTGGTTTGGATAGTGTAATATAATATTACCTTGTTTGGTTCAAGGTTATATTTTAGGTTATATGGATCAATTTACAATAATGTCCTCAATAATACACACACACACACACACACACACACACACACACACACACACACACACATATATATATATATATATATATATATATATATATATATATATATATATATATATATATATATAATGTGTGTATTTATTTATATGTATGAATGTATATCGATGCTTAAATATTAAAAAATTAAATATATAAATATACACATATATATTTGATTATATAAACATATATTAATTTCATTATTATTATTATTATATTATTATATTATTATTATTGTTATTATTATTATTATTATTATTATTATAATTATATAAGGATTAGTTAACAAGGGCAAAGTTGGAATAATTCAAGGTAATCTAAGATTACCTAAAAAATTGGGGGTAATCACATTACCTTGAAACATTACCGCCACATCAGCTTTCAGGTAATATAACATTACCAGGTAATCTTATAACTTGAACCAAACAAGGTAATATAACATTACCAGACTCAGATTACCTAGGTAATCTAATATGACCTGAACCAAACGCCCCCTTAAGCATATCTTTTGATCTTTCTTTCTCTCCCAAAACCTTTGTTGATCATAACTTTCACATACAATGACAACAAAAATGAAAAATAAATGACATAATAAAGAACATTAATAGATCACTTGACTCATGTCCTACCATGAAGCCTAAACTCGGTCCCTTGCCTGATCGAAAAAAAAAAAAAAAAAAAAAAAACAAAAGCAATGGCTTAAACCCTAGGAATCATTTGAAAAAATTCAGAGAGACTAACAATTTGATACAGCGCAGCCTACAAGTAAATAGACATGAAAAACACCAAAGTCGTCGTCTAGCTACAAAGGAGAAGAATTAGTATATACCTATGAGTAAAGATGGCAAAAGTTAGGCTTATGATGAAACGTAACTCAAAAACAAACAATGGCGACGGAGAGGCTGGTTTATATGGTGAGATAGTTCAAGAAAAGAGTGAATTATGAAAATCTTATATGAAAAAGTGTATATAAATATGAGAAAGTGTTAGGAGGCGGTTCTAGAGGATGTATTCTTGTCACAAAATAAATGTGGGATCTAGTTTCCTACTTGATGAGTGTGCTTTGCATTGGAGGGAATTTTCCTATGTGGTCCCTTCAAGATTTTGTATTTTTCCAAAATAGAAAATGTTTAATTTTGTATACTCAGATCAGATGTTCAAATATTTTTGGATTTTTTTTTTTTAAATTGTTATTTTAGACACCCTTGTAAAAATTAATCCCTCTATTAATAACTACTAGTAGTTGCACACGTACGTTGCACGCCCATGTAATTATGATGAAATATATAAAAAATTGTTTTATTGAAGATATATTAGCAATAAGGTTATAGACCTAATAAATAGACAGAATATAATTTATTGGGATTTCATAAAGAAAACAATTACAAATTATTAAAGATTTCTTTATAAACTACATTTTGTGTTTTGTTTAAAAATATATTAGCGGTTATAGACGTAATAAATAGAAAAAATATAATTTTTTTTTTTTTTGTGTGTAATTTATTTTCAGAAGTTTTGATTTTCGGTTGGTCAAACAACTGACGTGCAAAGATTCAAGGCGCGCCAACTATGCACCGAAAACTACTGATAACGGTATAGCTTCTTCAGCTCAGGTCGTCCGGCACGGGGAAGATCAACAAATTCGACGATGGATCCTTCTTCAACGTTTAGGCAAGGTCGGAAACCGCCGACGCCGAAGCATCCGGACCTCTATTCCACCTTCGTTATCCACGGCAGCGACAAAGAGAATGATCAGAGGAGCGACGACCTGTACTCCACAGTTGTCTGCAAAGACGACTTCGTTGGTGGTTCGATGGACGATGTTTCGCTTCCTCCGATACTCAAACGCTACTCCAAGGACGTCTGCGGCGGCGGTCCGGTTGATACCGAAGACGAGGATGAGGACGACTCTGTTTCCGGGACAATGATAGTGAAGAGTAGTCGCCGAAGACCTTATTCCGCGGCAATGTCGAGTTTCGATCGGGTTGAGAGGATGCGGAAGAGTAGGGTTGAGGATGATGATGATGGTGATGATGAGGAAGGGGATTTCTCTACGTTTGTTAGGAGAGAGGAAGGGAACTTCTCTACGTTTGTGAGGAGAGAGAGTGAGAGTGTGTCAGGGACAATGGTGAGGAGGACGAGCAGAAATGCGAGTGGTGAAAACGGTGGATTATCGACGATGAGCAGAGCCGTGGCGAGTATGCAGGCCGTCGGGGAGGGTGGGATCGGGAGGCAGAGGAAAACCGGGAGCGGTGCGGCGTCGGAGGAGGAGATGAGGTCGCAGGCGGGTAAGATCTCTTCGAGCTCCTTTCCGGAGGGCGTGATTAGGGAAGACCCTACTACCAAGTACGAAATTTTCAATGAACTCGGTAAAATTTGTTTCTCGCCTTTTGTTTTCCGTATTATTTATTTAGTTTAAAGTCTTGTGGGAAGTCGAATTATGCCATTGCTTGTAAGTTGTAAATACCTTCATAGATTGAGATATGAGTTTCTGCTTTCAGAATTTGGCTCACTGTGTAGCTGAGAGAGCAGTATTCCATTGCCTTAATAGATATTATTAAACTGTTTAGGTTACTGATCAAGTTGATTCCTAATAGACCTACTGTAGCTGATCATCATATCTGAAAAGGATTTTGTTGCATAGAGCAAATTTGAATGCATTGAGGCCGAGTTAGGGTGGCTTGAGATCCATAGATGCTTATCAGATGAATTAGAATCTATGTAGTTTGTAATGGTGCCTTGATTTTTCCTTCTTTTATTATGTGGTTGACATATTTTCAAAATATGGTTGGAGCGTTGTTTAAATTTATTGAAATATTAAGTGATTGAAAGGGGGAGGCATTGACCATGGCAGGGAAGGGTTCATATGGGGCTGTTTACAAAGCTCGAGATCTGAAGACTTCAGAAATGGTTGCCATCAAAGTCATATCATTGTCTGAAGGGGTATGATTTCTTTGTGCCCCATTATTTCTTTTCATATTGTGTCAGTGTGCCTAAGAATAATATTCTTTGAAATTTGAGATGCATTCAGGAGGAAGGCTATGAAGATATACGTGTTGAAATTGAGATGTTGCAGCAATGCAATCATCCAAATGTTATTCGCTACTTTGAGAGCTACCAAGGAGATGAATACCTTTGGGTATGGCCAACTGGATTGATCTGCATGACTTAACTCATAAATGAATTAAGGCTTCAACTCATTTCATTCAAAAAAAAATCTTAGTTACGTATATAGTGAGCAAAATCCAAATAATGAAATTTTGTTTGACTTAAAATTTATGACAAAATTGTATGTTTTCACAGATTGTAATGGAGTATTGTGGATGTGGAAGTGTTGCTGGTTTAATGAATATAACTGAGGAACCACTTGAGGAGCATCAAATAGCATATATTTGCAAAGAAGCGTTGAAGGTAATCTTGGCTTGAACATTAAATCAATGTTTCTGTTGAAATTGAGGGATTGAAAGGCTTGACAGGTGACAAATAGCCATCTCCTGCTAGTAAGACAGAAGCAAAATATGTGAGAAACCAAAGAAAGAGAGAATATGTGATTGTATTAATAATGTGATTGTATTAATAATAATATATTACAATAGATTGTCTCTCTACGTCTTGAACTATGTGACTCCATCTGAACCCCACTTAATTCTTGCTTTCATCTCCAACCACAAGCATGAAAGCTAGCAAATGGAGTTCTTGGCCTTTCTCTTTTCTGACCCCCCATACAAGAACCACATCTAGTATTGGAAGATAAGTGAATAACACGTTGAAAGCAGTTCACTGTTATTCCAAAATTGCTAGTTTTTATTTTAAGATTCCTATAAACTTGTTTGTCTAAGTCATTTGATTGGCTGATTTATTTATTTATTTGTGATACAAAACATTGCCCTCTTTCTTATAACAGTTTTCTGCCTCTTTATTATATCTGAACTATCATTCTTTGATGCAGGGTCTCTCTTATTTGCACTCCATATTTAAGGTTCATAGAGATATTAAAGGTGGCAATATTTTGTTGACCTCTCAAGGAGAGGTTAAGTTAGGTTAGTGCCTTCACCTACAGTACCATGTAAATTCTGACTTTTCTGAAACTGCATTTCTGTTCTATTATTTTCCAGAACTTATATATCATTCCTTAATTTCATTACTATGTCAGTTTGATATCTCATTAATTTCTCTTCCCAAAAATTGTTCATCAAAATAGTTATTGTGATTTCTTATTGAGTCCCAAATTTGTACTTATTTATCAGTATGAGCAGGTGATTTTGGTGTTGCTGCGCAGCTGACTAGAACAATGTCCAAACGTAACACAGTATGTCTATGAGTTACTTATAGTTCTAAAACTTCCTTAGCAGAAAAAATTATCTATACTTTGACATTATATTGTTTTCTCAGCTCTCCATCTCATAGCATTAAAATTATGTGTTCAATTCTTTTCATTTTCTTTCTCATGGTGGTTTCTTTGACTTTCATTTTTTTTTTTGGTTTTTTATTTGTTCTTTAAATTTTGAGTAATAATAATAACACCCAAATTTGTTGCTCTGTAAAATTCTTATATTGGCCCATTAATTTTCAGTTTATTGGCACTCCTCATTGGATGGCTCCAGAAGTTATTCAAGAAAGTCGGTATGATGGAAAGGTATTATTGACATTGTAATGTGATCTCCCTGTGGCTCTTGAATTTTGTCTGCATACTATTTTTATTGTACTATACTTGTTTTCCCTACACTTATCTCCCAATCTTTCCCAGGTAGATGTATGGGCGCTTGGAGTATCCGCAATTGAAATGGCAGAGGTACATTAATTTCCAAGTTCCTTTTATTTGTTTTTGGATTAACTGTTGCTTACGTGAAAAGTTAAAGCAGGTTTTTTTTTTTGGGTAAAAAATATTTCCCCTATTTGGAGCTTCATTTGCAATGGATAGCTTGCTATTAAATTGTACTGTGTTTAAGATCATGAAATGTTAGATGAATTCTAACATTGATGCTGACCAATACACCCACCCCTCCCCCTCTTTTCAGGGGCTTCCTCCAAGAGCAACAGTGCATCCCATGAGGGTTAGTCTGTGAATTTGAAGCTTCAACAGAATATGTCACAATTATTGCTATTCTGCATATGAACTGTAAGCATTATGCTGTCTGTTAGAAATTGTGAGATGGTGTTTTTGTGGGTGGCAAAGAGAGGTAGAAGCAATCTGAGTGAACAACCAAGCATAAGTGATTAACATTATGTGTATTCCAATATAATTGAATGCATTAACTCTATGGGTCCTTCCATCTTTAGAATTCCTGAACTCCTAGGAAAGTAATGAAGTCCTAATACTTCTAAGATTCCTAACTTTAGTTTAGGCAACCTTCCTAATCTCAATTTAGGAAGCTGTCTATTGTTGACATATTATGACATAAAAGTATTAAAGAAAATAGTTGTCAATTTGACATATTATAGTGTAATCTGCACATTATAGTTTCTCATGCCAGCACACTTCACCTCCCTTTAGTTTCATTTTATGATTCCCTCAATGTGTCGAGCAATTTGGACTCAGAGGACTGGGAAAGAAGAGTGGAGAAGAGGACAATAAAGATGGAGATTGAAGTACAAAATAGGGAAGTGTCTATTGTTATTATTGTATGCTTACACATTTCTATGTAATTCAAAGTTTTCTACAATGCTTAAAAGCTGATGGATGGTCAAATACTGAGTTTCCAGTTCATAGGACTAATCAATTACTCCATCCTGTATTGAAGCATGATTTTGCACTTCAGGGTTTCTTAATGACATTTCAGTATAATCTCTTTCTAAATATACCTTTCACTCCTTTCAGAGACTTAATATGTTTGTAATTTTGGATAGGTACTCTTTATGATATCAATAGAACCAGCTCCAATGCTTGAGGACAAAGAGAAATGGTTTGTTTTTTTATTCTTGATTCATTGCACATACACTTTTTGAAAATTTCTTTTCCTAGTTGTTAACGTATTTATATTTCCTATTATTTCTTTGATGGCTAGACACTTTTTCTTTATTTAACAATTTGCACGTAACCAAGAGAAACTTAACATATTATATACTGGACAGTGATAGTAATCAGGGAACTACTCATCCCCGTCCCTAATGTTTTATTAATTCTAGCCTACTTCAGCTTTGTTTCAAAACGGCCTATTTTTGCAATTTGCAACTAGGATGATTTAATATGCGTGTAAGAGAGTTAGGATGTTTTAGTCCTCTTTGTGCTTCTCTTCTTTTTGTTTTGTGTACTTTCTTTAACACCCCCATAGATAGCATTTGTTTTGTTGTTGTCTCACAATTATCACAGTGCACTTTTTCAAAGTGAAGTGATCTTTTTTTAATTGAAAACACCAAGGGGTGCAGTCTAAGTACATAGAAATGTGCTTACAAAACTGAAGTGGCAAACCAAATTGATTCTTGGAATGTTTCACATGTTTGCAACTTTTTGGAATGCAGTATATTATTGCTTCTAAAACTTGAAGTATCATATATGTTGCTATGAGATACTATATGAAGATAGATAGTATGCCACTTTGACATTCATGAAGTCGACTCACATTTTCCATCCACTTATAACTTATGGCTGAGCCTGCTGAATTTCTAATGATACTTGAAACATTCATGAGTTCTTTTGAGGTTAAATGATCTCTTGTACTACTAACATTTGACATCTGGATAAGATCATTCATTTGAGACTCCTGCCCAAATAATTATATAGTCAATAATGCATGTTTTTAAAGGCTAATCTTAGTATGCTGCTGAAGAATATGAATGGACATGTTCTGCACATTATTGATTTCCAAATTTCCAAAGACAAATATGAAACTGAGATTCAATTTCTGGTATGTAATTCATCTTTGTAAGGGAAAGAACAGTAGAAGTTGGTATGTCAAGGAGTCTGACCTTGACTGCATAAGTTCTATGACTTCCAAACATGGTAGGTTTTCTGTCATTTACTTGTATTTATTTCTTAGTTATTACTTATTACTGGATCCTATTAGTGCATAGAAATTGTCCTTGTATGACTTCTTACAATTGAAGTTTTCTAGAATGCTTCCCCTTCAGTATGGAAGGAATATGCATAGGATTCAATTGCCAGGTAGTGGCCTTTCAAAATTGAATGTAAACTCATGTATAGCCCTTAATAAAAATTGAAGTGGAACCATATATTATTTTAGGTCTCTTTTGTTCCATGACTTTGTTGCAATGTGCCTTACAAAGGATCCCCGTCTTCGCCCAACTGCAGCAGAGTTGCTTAAGGTACTCTGCTGTTTATGTTTTACATTTATATATGTTAATGTTGTGTTTCTGTCCATCCCTATGTGATATCTACAGTAGTGGATCTTTCTAAGTATGCCCATATATACTTTTAGTTTTTGGGTCTGAAAGTAGTGGATCTTTCTAAGAAGTTTGGAAGCTACATGTGAAATGTGAACCATACATTGAAGGACATCTATGTTGACTTCTCATATGGCTAGAAGCCTAGAAATAATTGAATATAGGGCAAAAACAGTTGAATGTTAGTTGATTTTTATGCTATGAATCCTTTCTTATTCCTGCTGTTTCTTTTGAAGCACAAATTCATTGAGAAGTGTAAAGGTGGAGCTTGTGCGATGCTACCCAGGATTCAGAAGGCAAAACAAATTAGGTCATCAATGGCGGAAGCACAGAAAATTGCTTCAGTGACCACTCAACAAGATGTATGGCTTTAAATTTCCTTCCATGATAAGCTTTGATTGTTACTTCCCCCCACCCCGACTCACCTGTTTTTTTTTTTTTTTTTTTTTTTTTTTTTTTTTTTTTTGGTATAAAGGAGACTCCCTAAGAAATTGAAATCATCTTTGTGCAAATGCAGTTAGGAGGCGGTCCCAAAGTAAATGAGACATTTGGAGATACAGTTCCTGCTGGTCTTAAAGTTGCCGATATAGTGTCATCCACAAGTGTTGTGGATAAGCATAATTCAGAATATATGGAATCTGCTGAAGAAGGTAACCCACCCTATTAGATTTCCATCACATTTCACATAAATCTGAACATCTCCCTCTAGAGCTTTGCCTTTCACTCTTGAGTTTTGACTGAACTCCTGAATGTGGTTAACTTAGTTAAACATTGTGAATGGATCACCACAGTGAACACTGAATATCATGATTTTATTTGACATTCTTAAACTTACGAGCCTTGAATGTATTGGTTTCATCTTTCAATCTATCCTTTAATCTTCCAACTGACTCAGTTCAAGAAGCCCTTTCTACTTCTGCATAACTTTAAAAATTATGCTAACTGTTCTAAACAAAGGAGGTTGATCAGTGTGGATTTGGCATTTGTGGCTCTATATAAACAGATGACTTTGGGACTCTGATAGTTCGAGATGGAGGTAACATAGATAAAACAGCTACTAAAATTGCAGTCAGAAATGCAGAACCATCTCCTCTTGAGCGTATTGGAAGCGCCCGTATGCTTGATCTTGGTGAAAAACCAATTGAGCCTTGGTAATTTATCTCGTACTTCAATGCTATGCACTTCAGTAAGAGAAAGAAGAATCTAATTACCCAAAATCGATATGCTAACCTATCAACTGCTGATTATGAGTTTCTGGAGGGAAATTTCCTTTTCTTAAAACTTGAATAAGTCTCAAAACAAAGGAAAGCTCTGTCTGATGCGGCTGAGAATGCATATTTCTCATCAGGTTGCACAATGAGACGGGCGTAAGTTCCTCAACTGGGGAATCCCAACCCGGACAAGTGCCAGCCTCTACTCCTGCAATGATTGCTTCTCCTGTTCTAGACGAGAAGGGTAACATCTTCCAAACCCAAGGTTCCTGGAAGAGTGAAACTGCCAGTCGAAGAGCTTTCGACAAGGTACTTTTTGACCTGTTATACAATAGGCCACTTGCACTCTCTTTCTTGATTCTCGTCTTCATTCCTATTTTGTGTGTGCATTTGCAATTCCACAGCGTTCCTTCATTTGATTTCTTGGTTGCTTGAATATGCAACTCTGATAATGGTTTTCTCCATCTATGCTTCTAGCTTCGCTCAATATACTCAGCTGGTAACACAGTACCAATCCCCTTACTGAGAGCAAGCGACGTATCACCAATTGCACTTCTGTCTAGAGACGTGCTTGGGGCCTGGCAACAAGATGATACGCTGCATGAACTTTTCACTCGCGACACTCCATCAAAAAAGGGTCGAGGCAGACAAACCGAGGTCCTTTTCCATCTATCCCTCCCCTGTCCCCACTCCTTCCTTGCAATTTTCCCTGCTTGGTTGCTAATTAATGGGCTACAGGTCCCCCTTCCTCTAAGCATACATCAGCGACTATCTTCTAGTCCTACTCTGATGAATCTAACCCAAGCATTGGCTTATCACAGGATGTAAGTAAGACCATTTCAACTTATATTTTCTTTTCCCATTGTTATTGATAAACTAACTGACTAAGTTCTGAGTTCTATCCCATCTTTATCATATTTTGTCAACATTTTCAGATCAAATCCATCTGTTAATCATTATGTACTCATCTTCTTAAAACTTGTATTTATCAGCATCAAGACTTAAGCTAAAGTTTGGACAATTATCATTTCTTATGTTCTTTTTCCTGTGTGATTAAGTCAAGTGTTGTTTCTGATGCTAATTTGAAATTGTTTTTGTTGTTAACTGACCTGACCATTTGAATCCATGATTCCAGGGCCTTCGAAGAGATGCCTCTACAGGAAATGCAAGCTACACAAGAACATCAGACTGTCCAAGGCCTTTGCGATACACTAAAGACTATCTTGCGATTATAGGTTGAAGATTGTAAATTGCATATTCGAAAATTTATCTTTATTTATTTTTCTAGACTAAATTCATCCCCTCTAGTTTTAATTTCCAAAACAATCAATCTATGACTTACTGATTAACCAATACACATATAATTAGTTGCATAATGATACCCATCTATGACTTTTGTTTTTGTTTTTTGTTTTGTTTTTATATTTTTTTTTGTATTTGAAAGGTCCCCACAAGAAACTAACTAGTCATCCCTGTCTGGAATGCAATGCTGTCAAGAGACACTTATCTTATCATCATTCAAAGTCTTACAAGTTACAAAGAGGGAATGCGGTTCGATAACCCACAAACTCCGGGCACTTTCGAGGGAGACATTCGATAGGAAATCAGCTGTTCTATTATGTTCTCTATACATATGCATCACTCTGACATTCATCTATGACTTTAGGTTAAGATATTAATAGTATCATTGAACAATCATATACTGATAAAAATTTGCAGTGGTTGTAACCACACACTGTTTGAGTCATTTGCCAAGGCCTAAGGTGCTTTTAAAGAGAAGAAAGTAGAATTGATCCCTTCTGATGTTTGTACAGCAGGAAATGTTTACAGGATATTACAGCATTTCATAGATCTCTGTGTATTTCAAAAATTGTTGTACAGATTCTACATCGAAGGAACTGTTTCTAAGAAGAGGAATCAAGGCCTCTGTGGGTGGAAGAACAGACAGACATCTAAAGAAGAAACGTAATCAACTTACAGGCACAACTGTTCTGTACTCCTTTTCTGTTACTGACCTTATGCCATGGGGGTCGGGGACCACATCGTCTTCCATGCCTTCTTTTGGAGGGTAGCCATATCTCCGCGCCAGCAGCCATTGATCAACTACCCCACAGCTAATGGCATACTTGATGGTTTGTTCCAAGTACCCTTTGTCAGTGACAAGGTGAGGCTGGACTGTCAGCATTCGCAGGATACCTGAATTGTGACCGGGATGCAAATATTAACCCTTATGGCCAAACTTCCGAAGGAAACAAATGAAGGCCTGACAAGAAATAGAAATCTGCATTAGTTTACCTGCAATAATGCCATCTCCCGTTGCAGACATATCAGAAGTGTAAGGGGTGAGAGGTGTGTCCTCCATTCCAAGAACAGCACCATTATGCTCCTTTGTATAGTAATGTATCTTTGAAGTGCCATTAGTTACGAACAAAACCTTTAAATTTTCATGCCAAAGTGGAGCAATAACTTCAGGCGTGTAATGAGTGAACTTATCTCTGTCATTGTCTCTCGTGTCAAACCTTTCAACAGGATTGATTCCACATAGAAATTCAAGTTCTTGCTTTGTAACTTCAATGATATCTGCAAGATCCCATGCTTGCTGTACAAAAGCCTTGGCTTCATCCCCAGATTGCCACAGTGGCAACGGAAGATTGAGATCATAAAAAATAACCCCTCCGAGTTTCTTTGAGATCTCGATGGCCCTGAATGTAGTTGATCTCATATTTGGGTCAAGCAGGGATAATGTGTTGAAGTAAAACAGTTTTGCCTGTATTGACAGATTACATGATCATAAAATATCTACAAAACATTATTAGTTAATACACAAACAATATGGTCTCGCTTACCTCTTTCAGCACATCAATATTGATCTCAGACTTCGATAAGGAATCCTCTGCACATGGTTTGAGACTGGTCATCTTCAAGGCGCCCCTTTTACTCATTTTCATTTTCGATATAGCTGTTGGTTTTTTATTATCAATACATACTGATCGGGTTTGGACCTCGTTGATATTCAAATAATATAACAATGATTGGCCAAAATCATCATCTCCGAGTTTCCCCATGAAGGCAACTTTACCACCTATGCGTGCAAGAGCAATAGCAACGTTACTTGAACTTCCCCCAGGAGCTCTCATGAATTTTTCAGGAGCCCAAATCGCATCCTTCGTCCTTTCATGTGCTTCATGGTCCACTAGTCTGTTGGCTCGCCTCGCTGAAGGCACAAAAGCGTGTTGTGCTGCACCGAAGCAACAAACGAGGGGTGGCCACCCGTAGGTGAAACTAATATCCTCCCCTCCGTCTTTATCCAACTCTAGTTCATCTTCATTGTTATCGTCCATTTTCACAATAAGCATGTCCCCTTCACGAGAACTAGATTCTAACCGGCTATCCTGATCTTCCAAATCATCAAGCACCTTCTTACTTCCCCTCCGCTTTGTTACCTTCTTCTTGGTTGAAACGTTCTCCGAGCTACTAGAAGCAGTAGCTGCAAGGCCATCAATTTGTCAAGTGTCAATTTAAACGTGCTAAAATGGCGCTGCAATGTGCAAAGTGCAAATTGTAACAGAATAATGATAGTTTTAGTTTCTAAAGATCACACCTTTCTTTTGAGTAGATCTCCTCGACTTCTTGGAATCATCACTCGGCCCTGAAATCGCTATAATCCCCTCATCCTCAACATTTCCATTTTCAGCAGACAAAGAATCATCATCCGAAACATCCGATACTCCCACTTTCTTTCGAGTTTGCTTCCGGGTTTTCTTGGAATCTTCAGTTGGCCCTGAAGCTATTCTCCTTTCTTTATCTGTATCATTTCCATTCTCAGCAGGTAAAGATTCATCATCTGAAGTCCATACTACTGACTTTTTCCTAGTCCTAGAAGAAGTTCGCTTTGATGTTCGACGAACCCTTTTCCCTGTATCCACCTCTTCATCGCCCGCCCCCTTAACTATTGCCTCTGTAACTCTTTCATCAGATACTGCAGTGACAACCCATTTTATCTTAGATCCAAGATTATGAAGCTGCACTGTGTTCATATATGGGTAAAAGCTCCTATTTATATGCTGCCTGCATTTTTAAGAGAAAATTGTTACAATCACTTTCTACACTTTCAGTTCAGTTCCTATCACAAAACAATGACTAATGCAAACTATGATTCTAAGAAGATACCAAAATCATTTAAGAAGCTGCAAAATAGAAAAGGCATGCATTATAGGAATGACAATTACAGATTCCAATTGTGGGATTAGCTCAATTCATGTTCTTATACAGTTGAAAATGACAGAAACACATAATTGAATGAAACATAAGAACAAAAAGAGTGAAGAGAAGAGAACCTGGGAAGTGAAGGAAACAGGTTAATAGAAAGAGAAGCCATTTTTTTTTGAGAGAGAGAGCTTCAAAGTTTCAATCTTTTCAAACCATGAAATCGCACAGTGGGAATTTTGGAGGGTTTAAGGCCTTTCACACTGAGAGAGCTTCAAAGTTTCAATCTTTTCAAACCATGAAACCGCACAATGGGACTTTGGAGGGTTTAAGGCCTTGGCACTGAGAATGAGCAAAGAAAAGAACCAGATGAGAAGGGGTTTGGCATTCTGGGGTTTTTAATATTTTATTTATAAAAACATTAATTTTTCATAATATTATCCTGTTCCGTAGGATAACAATCTTATATGACTGAAATGACCCTGCCCCTAAGTGAATTTAACAAATTGCCACTAGGTTTTATTTTTCATCTGCTTCTCCGTTATCAGTAAAAGATTTGATTTTTTTCCATGGAGCTAATCAGGAATCAGCCAACGGTTAGTATTCTCTCTCTCTCTCTCTCTCTCGTCTTCTCGCTCTCTCTCGTCTTCTCTCTCTCTCAGTCTCTTACACTGAAGTGAAGGTAATATATCCGTAGCTTTATTGGCTCTGTATTCATTGTTTCTGATTTTCTTCTTCATCTAGAACTCCAGATGAATTTCACTGATAAATCCACCGGCTTCAAATTTTGCACAGTTCTTAGGCAATTGATGGGTTTCAGAAATCTATTTTGAGCACCTGTTGGGCCATTCTTGAAGTATGAATATTTTCAAACAGTTGGTGCCCACCAAGTTTTCTTGGAGATGTGTTAAGAAGCCTTCTAATGGTAATTCCATTTCTCTCTGTTTTAGCTGTTTACTAGGCTCAATGCAATATGCATGTTTATATTTGGCAGACTAACTGTATATTAATCCTGGCCTAAATGATCAAATTTGTAAGGTATTACTGCAATGTTTAAATAAACTTATGAATGAAATAAAAATTCTAAACAAGAAAGAAAATGGAAAAGAATAGAAAGAGGAGGAAGGTTTGATTGCTTTTCTTATTACTAGTATTCATCTTGTTTGCAGTGCTGGGTTGTTTTCTTTTCCATTCGTCTTCTAATGGCGTGGTGGAAGTTCACTCTCAAGAGCAAGAAGTAGTTATTGCTTTGGGAAGTAATGTGGGAGATAGGCTTCATAATTTCGATGAAGCCTTGGAGCAAATGCGAAATTCGGGGATTAAAATTACTAGGCATGGTTGCTTGTACGAGACTGCCCCTGCGTATGTTACTGATCAGCCTCGGTTTCTAAATTCTGCTGTGAGAGGCGTTACAAAGCTTGGACCTTTCGAGTTGTTACGGGTGCTCAAGAAGATTGAGAGGGACATGGGACGTAGTGACGGGATTAGGTACGGTCCGAGACCGATTGACTTGGATATCTTGTTCTATGGGAAGTTCAAGATTAATTCCGAGAGTCTTATTGTTCCACACGAGAGAATTTGGGAGAGACCCTTTGTGGTTGGACCGTTGATTGATCTACTCGGGTCAGATATAGACAGCGATACAGTGGCGTGCTGGCATTCGTTCTCGAGGCATTCTGGTGGACTCTTTGGCGTGTGGGATAAACTAGGTGGCGATTCGCTTGTTGGAAAAGACGGTATGAGAAGGGTTTTGCCGGTTGGGAATCGTCTATGGGATTGGTCATCGAAAACGTCTGTTATGGGTATCCTTAATTTGACCCCCGATAGTTTTAGCGATGGCGGGAAGTATCTCTCGGTGGAGGCTGCCGTTACACAAGTTCGTTCCATGCTCACGGAGGGAGCGGATATAATCGACTTCGGTGCACAGTCGACCCGCCCAATGGCTTCGAAAATTTCGGCCGAAGAAGAACTAGGCAGACTGATTCCCGTCGTGGAGGCTGTTACCAAGATGCCCGAGGCCGAGGGGAAGCTCTTATCGGTCGACACTTTCTACTCACAAGTCGCTTCCGAAGCCATCAGTAAGGGGGTTCACATCGTGAACGATGTCTCGAGTGGACGCCTCGATTCCAACATGCACACCGTCGTTGCAGCCCTTAAAGTTCCCTATATCGCTATGCACATGAGAGGCGATCCTTCCACAATGCAAAACCGCGAAAATCTAATATACGACGATGTCTGCAAAGAAGTTGCGTCCGAGGTGTATGCACGCGTTCGGGATGCCGAGTTAGCGGGTATCCCGGCTTGGAGGGTCATCATAGACCCGGGAATCGGATTCTCAAAGAACACTAAACAAAACCTCGATATTCTCATGGGCATCCAAACTATTCACACCGAGATTGCCAAGAAAAGCTTAGCTGTCTCCCACGCTCCCCTACTGGCCGGACCTTCCCGAAAGAGATTCTTAGGCGAAGTTTGTGATCATGCCGCTGCAGCTGAGCGTGATCCCGCAACCGTCGCTTCAGTCACCGCCGCAGTTCTGAATGGCGCCAATATCGTAAGAGTGCATAATGTTAGAGACAATGCAGATGCAGTGAGGCTCTGTGATGCAATGCTGGGCAGAAGGTGATAGCTAACATTGTTTAACAGATCGATATCCCGAGTAAAAAACGAGAACCTAGGCCGGTTTATTTTCTCGTGGCCCTTTGTTAGTTTAGGGTCGTCACAAGGCGGGCCCGGGGGTTTACGCTATGAGCAGCCTGGATAGTAACTGCGGGTTTCCCTTGTCACTCGGAAAAAAAAAAAAAAAAACTTCTTCAGTACAATAGTTGAGGATCTTGTGGTTCATTTGCATTCATTCATAAGTGATGTATACAAAATTTCTTGTAAAATGGCATTTGGGAAATTTTTTATAATGTTTTTGTTTTTTAATACTTTTAGATGGCTACCTTGTATTTTCTATATTTTAGAATTCTTCTAATTTTATTTGAAGCTCGTCATGATTGTCCAAATACAAAATCATTACAATTTTTTCCAAATTAGGATATTATAAAAATATAAAATCATTACATTTTTTTTTTTTCAAATCACTGAATCAGGATATTATAAAATCATTACATTTTTTTCCAAAATTATATTGTAAAATACAAAATCACATATAGTATTATTTTACTAATTAATAATCACAATAAACTTACTAACTAGTATTATTACAATTTTTGTTTTCCAAATTAGGATATTATAAAATTATTACATTTTTTTGCATGGCGATTTACTTACCTTTTCCACCACTATTACTAAGTGGAGAATCACAGAGCATTTATTACTCCTTACATTCTGTTTGTATAAATGCATGAACCAGACACCTGAGTTTCCGCACTTGTGCTCAAACTGGTTTCCTAAGTTCCTAGTACCAATTCCGACGTTGTCATTTGGCGTCGGAGATTGGTCGGAGATTGGCCGGAGCTGCCATGGCCGGAGGATCAGGTGCACTGTTGAAAGATGAGGTAGATATAGTGATACCCACAATCAGGAGTCTTGATTTCTTGGAGATGTGGAGGCCATTCTTTCAGCCCTATCATCTTATCATCATCCAAGATGGTGACCCTTCCAAGATCATCAAGGTGCCGGAAGGTTTTGACTATGAATTCTACAACCGGAATGATATCGACAGGATTCTTGGTCCCAAGGCCTCTTGCATCTCATTCTTGGAGGCTGCTTGTAGGTGCTTTGCCTTCTTGATCTCCAAGAAGAAGTACATCTTCACCATTGATGATGACTGCTTTGTATGTTTTCTAATTCCAATATTTTTTTGGAAAAGTGTCAATTAAGTTTTTATGGTTAGTATATCTAAACTTTGGTAATATAATATATTATTTTCGTGCATCAAAGTCCAAGATCGAATTAATTTTTGACTGTTAACATAAGGTCAGTAGCGTTTCGACGAGACTTCGGCGACTAACGAATGGTCGCCGATCGCCTTCTCCAGTGAAAAAGGCGATCAATTAGTCACCTTATTCGTGTTACATTAAGCTCATTGACAACATGTTATTTTCGTGCATTGGGACCCAAAGAACTTATCATTGATTTGTAATAGTATGACTAGGGTTTCGACGAGACTTTGATAATGCTCTTAAATGTGACCAGTTACTTGCCTTTTCCAGTGGAAAAGCTGACCGGCCAGCTGGTTGTTGTCTTTATCAAAGGCTACCTAGGATCGTTTGTCGGAACTTGCCCTATTGGAAATTCTGAAATTTCCGACCACTTGAAAGTTATTTTAAATCAAGTCGAAAGTCATGTTCCGACCATTTTTAGTATCCGGAAAAACCCTTATTGCTATTTCCGACCATTTTTTGCTTTCGACTTGATTTAAGATCATTTTCAGGTGGTCGGAAATTCAATAATTTCCAATGGTATGGGAATTGCAACTTTTAAAAGTTCAAATATCTAATTTAATTTTTGCAGGTTGCCAAAGATCCGTCTGGCAAAGAAATCAATGTTATTGAGCAGCACCTGAAGAACCTGTTGACCCCTTCCACCCCACATTTCTTCAATACTCTGTATGATCCATACAGAGAAGGTGCGGACTTTGTCCGTGGCTATCCTTTCAGCCTTCGTGAGGGATCTCCTACTGCTGTTTCTCATGGCCTCTGGCTCAACATCCCTGACTATGATGCCCCAACCCAGCTTGTCAAGCCTCGCGAGAGAAACACCAGGTAGTAGGATTCGAACCCATGACCTCTGGCATGACTCTAATACCAAATTAAAGCATCTGAAAGTTGGATTGCACATTAATGGTTATATGCTCAACAAAATTAACAAGGAGTACATGGGGGAAACCCGTGTAATTGAGTTCAATAGTCTAATTGCATTTTTGTGTGTAGTTTGATGGTCTATTTGACCCTTATTTCTTTTTTCTTTTTTTTTCCTTTTTTGAGTGATTAGGGAAACCCGCATTTGTTATATGAAAATAGGGGTGTCAAAGTAGGTCGAAACTCGAGGTAAGCCCACATTCGCTTGCAGTGGGGTGGGTTAAGGTTTCTTAAACCCTAGCCTGTGGGCTGGCCAGTAAAATCTCTTGACTTGTTTTGAAAGTATTATCAGATGGTGTGCACTAAGTAAATCGCGTTATACTGTGTGAAATTAACAATGAGTACTATATGGTTTCAGATATGTAGATGCAGTTGTAACAATTCCGAAGAAGGCATTGTACCCTATGTGTTCCATGAATTTGGCTTTTGACAGGGAGCTCATTGGACCTGCAATGTACTTCGGGATCTTTGGCCATGGCCAGCCAATTGGACGCTATGACGATATGTTCGCTGGCTGGTGTTCCAAGGTACACCACACTACACTACACATCTCCCGAGCCACTTAAGGCTATTCAATTCTTTGTTACATGTTACGACAGACTTTGACCCTGTTTGGTAAAAAATTAGTCTATAGGTCAATTTTAGCTTATTTGACCACTATTAATTGTTTGATTTAGTTAAAATATCAATATAAATGTTTGGTTAATTACCTTTTTGCAACTCTAAAAGGCTGAAATTCAAAAAGCTACTCCAAGCAACTTTTTCAATTAGCTTTTTTGAGAAAAGAAATTATACCAAACAACTATCAGCTAACTGCTAATTTTACCAAACACTTTTCTACAATCAGCCAATGTTATCAACTATTTTTATACTCTAATTAACACAATCAGCTAACAACTAACATCCATTTGTAAATAATCCCTTTTGGAAAACTTGCAGGTTATATGTGACCACTTGGGATTTGGTGTGAAGACTGGTCTGCCATACCTATGGCACAGCAAAGCCAGCAACCCTTTCATCAACCTCAAAAAGGAGTACAATGGTATCTTCTGGCAAGAAGAGGCCATCCCATTCTTCCAATCTGTTATCCTTCCTAAGGACTGCACCACTGCCCAGCTTTGCTATCTCGAGCTCGCCAAACAAGTAAAGGATAAGCTTTCCAAGATTGATCCCTACTTCTCCAAGCTGGCCGACGCCATGGTTACCTGGATTGAAGCTTGGGAGGAGTTCAACCCTGCACCTGCTGGGGAGGAAGATGTTGACTTTGCTAAGCTATCCATTGCCAAGGCTGCTGGGAAATAGATTCCTTAAATAATAAGCTTATAGTTATGTTTTTCTCATGGCTTAATAGGTTTAGTTAGCCATGGAAGGATGGTTACTTTAATTTGTTTAAGTTAATTGTTGGGTTTTGAGTTCTTTTTCATAAAAATCGTTACGTCGTCATATTATATATTAATTATCAATATTTTTAATGAATTAATGAATGAAAGTGCTATTCTACCCATAAACAAAACTCTTATTTGCCTAACATCTACCCACTTCAGTTGACTTTCAAGTAAGCAAAAATGTAGAATCTAATACCGTTTATAGTTGATACTTTGATTGTTTTTTCTTGTTAATTATTTTGGATCAACACAAACGCCAGATTCAAGTAAATTTAACTACCCAAATTGTTTAATAGATAAATAATATTGAATGGAATCTATTTAAAAAGTGGAATCTATTTAAGGTACTTTTTAAAGTAATTTTGCACCGACAACATTGTACCAACTACATTTGTCTGATTCATGAAGACAACAGTCAAGTACGGTTTTCATAATTGCCGTCAAAGTATTCTTGACCACAATACGAAATCTCAATAAAATTGTATGTATATATATTAAGAGGATTCTCCTATTAAAAAATTATGAGTTCAATTTTTATTTATATTTTTTTGATTGAATTCGTTACATAAAGTTTGTTTAGTATATATATATTTTTTATATGTCATTTACGTACTATTACGTAAGAATAAGATTTATTATGAATACAATCTCTTCCATATCTACAACAAATCTCAATAAAATTTTGTTGTTTCTATTTTCCCGAAAGGAATAACCCGTGAAGCTGGGCTTGTTGTCTTCTTTTTTAGTTCAAACAAAATAAAATGTCACATTAATATCACTATTTATTTGACTTTTTTTAAAAAAAATAAAAAGACATACCTTTCCTTATGGGCCAGATTGAATTCTATTCCAAAACTCAAAAGCCTAGTTACCCTAGTACATGCAACCGGCAAATTATGCCCTGGACCCATGTCCACAATGAATTGTGGACACGGGCCCAAAACGACATCGTTTTAAAAAAAAAAAACGCGTCATTTAGTTAAAAAAAAAATTGCGCGCGTTTTGCCGTTAACGGTGTTATTTTTTTTTTTTGATTATGAATGTACAGTTATGCCGTTATGAATGTACAGTTATGCCGTTATGAATGTATGAACACAGAGCTCTAACATTATGAACTTACAATTATGAACATATATAGTGATAAAATTATGACCATGGAGCTTTAAAATTGTGAATATAGAGCTTCGAAGATTATGAATGTACAGTTATAGAGTTATGAATCTACAGTTATGGAGTTATGAATCTACAGTTATGAGATTATGAATCTACAGTTATGGAATTATGAATGTACAGTTATTGATCGAATTATGAACAAAGAGCTCTAACATTATGAACTTACAATTATGAACATATAGTGATAAAATTATGAACATAGAGCTCTAAAATTGTGAACATAGAGCTTCGAAAATTATGAATGTACAATTATGGAGTTATGAATGTACAGTTATGACGTTATGAATGTACAGTTATAGAGTTATGAATGTACAGTTATAGAGTTATGAACGTACAATTATGGAGTTATGAATGTATAGTTATTAACATATAGTAATAAAATTATGAACATATACTTCTATAACAAAGTGATCTGAAATTT